AACCAAAATACACTGATATTTATATTAGTATTAATATAAATATACTAGTATTATTACTAGTATGCACACAATTTCAGTTTCATTCATCCATCAATCAATCCATCCAGAAAAATGTGGATAGATTTGTTAGGATAATTATCACTGATGATGTGTGAGTTTATTACACCTTGGTATTGGCTACCTGTTACGTGTCAGAACTGATGTTTTAATCTTCTGCAAACTCTAAGCAACTTCTCTGATCTGAGCAAGATTACAACTTCTATCAGAATCTGTTGTCATGTCTCCTGGTTATTTAATACATAGAGGTTATGAAGTGTTATTTAAAGAGTTTGTCCCGAGTGATCTCTTTTCAGAGAAAAGAACTGGAGAGTTGGAGCATTAAGGTGCCTACACAGAGAATATCTTTAACAGATTGATGGATGTTTTCCCTTTAGGCTACATTAGAGAATATCATCCTTCAAACGCAGCAAAATCAAATTTTGAAATTTGTCCCAGGTATTGCCAAAGTCTATGAATTAAAATTATTGGTGGGGACATGTCCACACCAGTCCTTCACAAAGTTACGGCTGTGAATTGAAACATGGGTGCTCAAAGTGCAGTCCAGGGGCCGTATGCAGTCCTCAAAATGTTTGTACACAGCGCCTGACTGAAACTCATAAATTTATACAAATTTGGCTCTCCAACAAATGGGCTTATATATTTTTTTTAGAATAACAATCATTATTTTAAAAGGTCTTTAATTTTAAATCTTTAAAACAAGATACCATTCTATCATAAGCAATGTAGTTTTATTATTTAAGTAAGTGGGGTAGTAAACATCCAACAACTTCTTATTGTGTTTTTGTTATAAGAATAGACTAAAAATCTTAAACCAATAAAAGATACTGAACAATTTCCCTCAAAATATTGGGAAATTGCACACTTTTCTTTCTTTAAGAGAAACATCTAATATCTTTTTTGGACTCACAATACTTCATTCTTTTCTGCTTTGTCTTATTAAATTATTGCATGTTTAATTGATGACAGGGCAAGTTTTGACTATAAAACTACTTTGTATCTTTAATAAGAAAAGGAGTTATTGCATCTGAATGGTTTAGATAAATTTTGCCCATTACGGAAGAAGTTTGAACACTTTGAATTAAAAGTAATATATACTATTGCTGAAAAGCAGGAGTTTTTAGGATGAAGAATTACAAAGAATTCAAAATTTACTTAGCATATAATTAGGGCTGGGAATCGATTCAAATTCTTAGAATCAATTTGATTTCAAATCTTAAAATTTGAAGAGATTTTCAATCCAATTTGATTCTCGTGTTATATTAACATCCAACAGTTAAATACCGTAATACAATTATGGTCATTGATGGCGGCTGTAAAGGCAGTGAATGAGGTTGCTGTTTTCTTTTTTTTTTTTTAAATCAAAATCTATCTTTAGTTATATGAATTGATCATTTCAAATTAATATGAGAATCGATTCAGAATAAAAAAATATATTTTTTAACACAGTCCTAATTATAATGCATGTCATGACTGTGTAGTGAAATGGAGTGACAGTAACTGCAGGAATAGTACCCTGGGTCAGCCCTACTGCCCCCAGACCACCGCCAAGTTCTTCAGCCTACACCCTTTTTACCAGAGCTGCACCAATAAAATCAAAAAAATAAACAGAACCTGTTAGATAATTGCTTGATCAGCTCTTATTAATGATCAGTTGATTTAAAAACTCAGCTTTTTTCTGTATATCAAATGCAATGCCTCCCATAACTTGCTTATATTTTCTGCAAAAAAAGAAAGAACAAAATACTTTAGTCAAGAGTGAAACCTTAAAATGAGGTAGTGTTCAGGGACATGTACCTTGATCTATGAAAGAAAATTATTCTATGATTTCTTGTTAGTTCAGATCTGCCGCTTCTATAAAAGAATCTTAGGCTAACGTTTTTCTCTTTTACATAGCACAGTCCTTGGAAAAATACTGGGCATAACTTCAACTAGAAATCTGTATTAACGCTGCTATAGATTTTTTTTTGCCATTTTTCTTCTAAGAGATAATTTGACAAAAGACCAATAAAAGGCATGAATTATCAGAGGTGACATGTCCTGTGCTGTTTTAAAGCTAACGAGTAATAGTCGGATGGAAGGGGAGATGGTCAGATAGCTGGGGGCCTTCTCCCAGGTATTGCTCCATTTACTGTGGTGAAGAAAGCTCTCGATTTACCAGCCTTTCCACATTCCTGCTTTCACCTAAGGTCAGGAGATATGGATCATGCTGAAAGACCAAGATTGCAGATACAAGCAATTTTTATGGGATGGCCTGACTCATTCTTAAGGGTGGATTATGGGTTAGGGTAAGGAGCACCATCATTTCAGAGAAACACTGATTAGAACTTCTGCCTCTTAAGATTGAAAGGAGTCTCCTTCCTTTTGGATGTTTATTAAGAATTGCCCTTCTGGGGGTCCACTGGTAAATTCAGAATAACCCAAAGGGACTACATATCCCCTCTCCCCCTTCTCCTTTGCCTCATACCTCTTCAACCAGGTCTCAGAAAAATGGAAGAGAACGGACGGATACAATGCCTCATCTAGTCAAACCTGTCTATATCAAAAACCTTAAATCAAATAAAATCAGATATGTATTATATAACAACAAACATAATATAGGTTTAATAGATCTTAAATTGTTAAAAATGTATGTTTTTTTTCAGTAGAAAGGTCAAGGTCATGTATTTTTATATTTTTAATTATTAGTATTTTTATGTTTTTAATATAAATTTTTTTTTTTATATGGAGATCTGGGCTTAATAAAAAATGTACCCTTCTGCTTATAGGTTTTGTTTCTTTTTTCAAAAGGTAATTTATTTATGAGTGTACAATTTTCCCATTTAAGAAAATTATAAATTCACTGTAGTAATTAAAAACGGAAAAAAGTAATAACACATAAAATTGTATGAGTAAATAATGAGTAAGTAAAATAAAATATTGATTTTGAATTTTTGTTTGGACACATAATTATAAAAAGCCAATTGACCGAGACAAATGAAAGTACCTTGCTCATGAACAGTGAACCAAAATACCCATTAAGAGCAGCATTTACTGATTTACTGAACATTACAGAAAATGCCTGATTTCAGTGACTGAAAGTGTTGCTCAACAAAATGTTTGTTCAGGAGCTCAAACAGGGTTTACATATCTTATATATATATATAATTATATCTTATTTATTCATTTTATCCTGCTTGACCCCTCAGGGTCGTGGTGAGGCTGATGCCTATCTCTAGCAATCCATGCCAGTCACCCTAAAAGTCATGTTTTTGGACAGTGTGATAAAGCCAGAGTACCTGGGGAGAAACCATACATGCAAAGGGAGAACATGCAAAGTCCAAATAGAAAGAACCAGGACCCAGGAATTGAGCCTAGGACCTATTTTGTGCAAAGTAACAGTGCTGCAAACTACATCCCCATGCAGCCCTAATTCTATTTGCATGTTAATTTTTTTTCTTTTTTTGCATTTCAGTTTGTCTTTCATTCATTCATTCATTTAGATAAAACCTCCATGACTGTAAAATATCTTTCCAAGAGGGACCTGGCAATACAGCAGCACCATTTACAAGAATTAACAAATTAAACATAGCTGCTCAGTCTGAACTAGAAAGCTTTGTTGCTAAACTGTTGGCCTCATTGTGACTTTTCCTGCAGTTTACAGGGTTTGTATTGCTATTAAGGGCCGATAGGCATTGAAAAAATCTAGGGGGAAACCCAGTTGATATTGTTGCCTCAAACACCTGACTAAAACGTTAAATGATTTTTTAATGTCTTTAATTTGTTAAATGGCCCCTACTTACCCTTATCATGCTATAAATTTATATTGGACATGCTAGATCATGGATTCAGAGTTAAAACCTTTGGAAACATCTATCGAGAAGATAAGGTTATGTTCCGAATAAAGAAAACAAACAGATCCAAAGGAAAAAAAAACAATTTATTACATTCTCAAAACCACATATAGTGTATCCGATTGGACAACAATATATATTGAGCTTTGTGACTGTTATTTTTGAACTAGTAATATACCTGTTGTACATTTTGTCATAGAGGGAAACAAGAAAGGGAGTCAGACTATTGTTCTTTTGTTTGCACCTTTTCTAAAGATTTTTAATTAGAAAAAGAAAATCACTGACTTTACAAGACCAAAGGTGGAGACTCATGAAGAAAATGTGGATAAAAGACTGACAAATGACTGAAAATCACAGCAAAAGAAACAGAAACCCAAATAAAATATCTTTCGAACACTAACAGATTTTTTTTTTATTCTATGAATCTGAACTTGAAGGTTACAACATTAGGACAAACAAAGAGGGGCTTTGACACTTTCTGTGGTTAACATTCACAAAAATAGAGCTTACGTCCACAGTGATTATGGTTATGGGTCTTAGATGCAAAGATGTGAGGAGTACAAGGCTAAAAAGATGACACTTGCAATAAAGGGACAAGAGATTACAGCTATCTCCCTGAGCAGCAAGTAGCACGTCCGTAGTAAGACATTATAATAACCTTAACAGTGTGTTATGTACATGAATGAACTGTAAACAGGTATGGCTGATTTTGTTTCAGACATGGAACAAAAATAATAATAACAAAACAGACTAACCGAAGTCTTACTGGCATGGAAGCAAAACTCAGGGGGGCAGCTGGTAGCTCTGTCTGGCCTTGGACTAGTGTCAAGTGAGGAAGAGGAAAGTATAAGTGCTTGATATTTGGAAAAGTGTTGGGTGTAGGACTAAAGGAGAGAAACTCCAAATGTACAAAATAATACAGTTGCACCAACCAGCAGAGAGGTTTTTATGATGCATATGGACCATTGCAAACCCAGCCTTGAGCTAACAAAAACACTTTCAGCAAAACACAGTTACATCAATGTACTCCTGCCGTACTGAATGACAGTCAGAAACACCAGACAGTGTTACCCCCTGTCATTATATAGTCCATTAAGTCATCTTTTGGCTTGCCCTCTCTGTCGCTTAGTGCCCGCGCTTGTCCTCATGTCTCTGTCAGAGAGGGGGAGTCAGCAGTTCTTTCTTTTCCTTCGTCTTTCTTTACTGTGTGCAAGTTTGCTGCCTCCTGCTTGCTAGGATAAATCTGCAACAAGTGTCCACCCCCTCACTGGCAGACTGGCTGTCCCTTTGCTGTTGTGCCAAGAGGGGTTTGCTGCAGTGGAAACCTGAGAATTCTGCCAAAAGAGGAAAACTCATCCAGAAAAAAAAAATAAAATATACAAAAAAGATCTGAGTCCAAACATCAGTTGTGCCTCCGTGTCCACTTTACTCCTTTTTCTCCGTCCATTACTCTTTCCATATACTCACATAGATATCTATTTACATTCTTATTTAAAATATCTTTTTTTTTATATATATATATAAATGTGTATATAAATTAAAGATAGTTTTATCTTTTCCTGTCTCTAAGTGGCATTTACAAGGAAGGGGGTTTGAGGGACTGAGGTTTTTTTCATTGCATTACAAAAGCCCACGAAAAGGCAGCACCTAATACTACTTACTGTGAGTTAAACTGATTGCTGTCTTGACTCTAGACAGTGAGTCAATTTGTTTGAGTCAACTGGTTTCTATGCATATCAGAGGAAGCTCTGATCTGTGATCTTGGTCCCTAAATGAGAATCAGTGAAAGGGTGCGTGAAAATGCATGTGCATCCCTCTGAGATGTATAATATCGAGAGCTTTTGCCTAACATCTGCAGTAATATTCATCAACTTCTTGCCAGTTCTATGTGAGAAACTTTGTTTTAGATTTGCAGGTTTGTACATTCATCATTGTTTGGTTCTTATTTGTGCACTGGTGCTAATAAAAGAGATACATTCATAACTAGTTCGGTGATCCCCAGTGGATCCATACTTTAATATATTTTAGAGCTTGGAGCTTTTAACATGCCATGTGGGCTGCTGTGATTTTAATAAGATGCCCGAGCACTGATTTACAATGCTACAATTTGCAGTTGAGCAGAAGTATCTATGGTATGTAGTGTAAGGTGCTTTGCCTGCTGGGATAGTGGAGGACTACTTAGGGAGACTGAGTATTTATAGTCCTTGATTGTCTCTTTAACTGCTGGTTTCTGTTGTTCTCTGTCTCACGTTTGCCTCCTCTAATTTCTAGAATCCTCTCTAGTTTTATCTCTGTATTTAGCTGTCGGTGGAATCCGGCAGAGGCATTTCGCTACCAAAAACTTCCCGGTACAGAGGTGGAAAACTGTAGGCAGTCTCTGGGTGCACCAAACGGAAAAACTCCAGTTTATCAACGTGGAGGTTACAGATGGACTTCATTACAGGCAGCTTCGACAACATCTGGGGGGGACAGAAAGCAAGACACATTTGGTGAGAAAATGTATGAGTTTAGTGCTACGTAAAAGGTTCTTTAAGTTTTTTTTTTTTTTACGTTAACAACTTTAAATAAACAAAAATAATGTGTTTCAACAAAATTTGTTTAAACACAATAAAACACAATTCTACTTGGTCATTTTCATGTAAGGCATTGAGGAAAGTTTTTGTTATACGATTTAGTTCCTCTGTTTTTTGATAATATGCCAGCACAGGTGTTTTCTGTGTTTCTGTTACTTACTGTCTTGTTTTATCCAATCAAAATTCATGTTCTGTTTTACAATCAAGGGAAGTCTTTTCGTTTACACAAATGTTAGTTCCTCTAATTGTGTTTTACTGCAGTGTTCATCAGGTGTTTTTAATTGCTCTTCTTTGCTTTATATCAATCTGAACTGGGCTGGGTTGCCTTTGCTTAATATAAAAATATTAAATTTTACATATATTGCTATCCGTTTGTTTTGAAACTGAAACATGAACAACAAGAAATGTAATTTTACAGCATTGCTTCTGTATAGGAAAAAAAACTTATTTTTTTAAACTGCTTTTAAGAGATTAGAATAAAATAAAGCTGATGATACTTTATAAAGTACATTTTAAATGAAAGCTTAAATGATTAGAATACCTATATTATCATACCTTGATTCATTTGACTCTATAATATGCTCATATCTAAAACTTTTTCTGCCTCTTGTCCAAGACGCCCTTGAAAAAGGAGGTTTTACAATCTCAATGAGACGCTCCTGGTTAAATGAAGTGTAGATGAAAAATTTTAAACTTGAAATGTATCTTATTAACTCTGAAGTTAGGTTTTCTGGCAATTCAAAAAAAAAAATCGGATCCAAGAAATGTGTTTTATCTGTGGAAAAATATTGAAGAAATTGGCTTTTGTTTACCTTGTCTAATTTCTCCTCAGAAGCTCCACTCTTCTGTAGACTGTGCTGCAGAGCCAGGTAGGCTTTCTCTTGGAGTTTCTGAACATTCTGACTATCTGACAGCCAGGGTCGATCTATAAAAGCATAGATTAAAACAAAGCTCAAACTTTGTAATGATTTCACATTTAAAACTATATCTGAAATTGTTCACGCTCTGCAGTTTATATCTTAACAACTGCTTCATGCATTAAACTTAAAACTTATTATATGACTCAAATGATGACATATCTCTCCCAATGGCAAGTTCAAATTAATAATTTATGCAAAGCAACTTGTAAACCGTAACGGAACTGATTTTGGTGTATACTATTCATTGCTTTGTCTAAACAAACAGTAATTAAGTTAAAGGCTGCCCAATAGAAACAATGACACAAAATGCAAGACTTAGCAAAATAACCTTTAAAACTAAAAATAAAATCAGCACGTGAACTTATAATATAAACATGAATTAATGTTTTGCTTTTACAGAATCAATCATTCATAAGGCATCTTTTTTAAATCTTACTAGAGCTTAAACAGCAACATAGACATTTGAGAATTGTTTGGTTGCTCTTCCAGGTCTTTATAAATGCTTGCATGACAGAATGAGAAGCAAAAAAACTTACCAGGCGATAAAAGAACAGCAGCGCTAAACAGGGCCATCTCCTCATCTGAGAGCTGAAGACGACAAAGTCCCTTTCCAAGCTCAAACACGGCATTCACCAGATCATCACACCCTGCATAGACAACACAGTACATCAGATAGATGACTACGAAATAAGATACTCTGATTGGTCTATTTTTTATAGGATAGAACCAAAATATAATCTGCTGTGTAGGAATAAGGCCTCTTTGTCTGCAAATTATAACAAAAGGGAAATAAACTTCTATCAGCTTACCTAAGGTTCTTGTAAATCTCACCAACAGTATCTATTAAAGTGTGAATACTCTTTAAAATTGTGCCTTGTAATAACCACAAACATTGGGCTATTTTATTAGGACTTTTGCCAAATTGAAACCTATTTATAGTTTTGCTAAGCTTCCCTGTTGCATTACAGGGTCTGTGTGCAAATGCATAATAGCCCTTTAATAACATGGCATAACGCTTTGATAATGCTGGTGGTCATCCAGGTCATAGTCATTCCCAAAAAAAAAAGAAATAAAAAAACAATCCACTGGACTTTGTTTCCAAGTTTGAAGACATTTTGCTTCACATCCAGGAACCTTTTTCAATTTAAAATGTCAGGAATAGCGTTGAGTATAAAGCCTAGAACTTAGCGCTATTCCTGAAATTTGGAATTAAAAACCTTCCTGGATGTGAAGCAAAATGTCTTCAAACTTGGAAACAGTCCAGTGGATTGTTTTTTAAATTTCTTTATTTGGAATGGCTTTGATAATGCAAAGTGTATTCTATATGAAATTAAGGGCACAGTAATTTCAATTTCTCCCACTTGGTGGCGATATGATATCATATAGTTGTTGATACCAAAGGTGGAACCTCAGGCTAAACATTTGGCTTCTCTTACAGGTTTGATCTAATTTAAAGGTCAACCAGAAATAGCTCAGCAGTTACAACAACTTTTTTTTTTCTTTTTCTTGGCAACTGTGTCACACTTATCCTGAAAAACCTTTCTTAGTAGATTCAGCTTTTCTTTAGTATATAGAAAGCAGTCTATCAGCTTACCCAAGACATGTAGAACGTCAGCGTATGAATGTGCATTAACTATGCAAGTGTTTTAATGCTTACACAATTTTGCCCAAATTTATCCTCACCGAGAGCTTTGAAGAACTGAGCTGGGGCAAATTTTCCGTTGAAGAAGATGGTGCTGTTGTTGCTGTTAAAGGCGCGGCACATGCGTATGAGTAGGACCTCCAGACAACCTAAAAAAAGGTAGCCAGAAACAGAGGAATAGACACGCAGAGATGGAGAGAGAGACGACGTAGAAGAAGAGGAAGAGAACGAAGAGGAAGATGCAGGACGAGGAAAGGCGCAAAAATACTCCAAACATGCAAAAACATACAACAAATTGTCAATTTTGAGTCAGATTAGGACACAGTATATACAAGAGCAAATTGATGGGACAGTATTTTTAAGTATTGTACAAATATTCAACAAGGTTCATTTTTTTTCAAAAAGTAAAAACATTGTTAAATATATGCAGGTAATTGTAAATATAATTTTTTGCAGAATTTTTTTATTTCTCCCCAGTGTTTAGAGCAGGGTGGCATAAATATTTTGAACGTAAAAAAAAAATTATATAAATTAACAGGCAGAGGTAGAAGGTTGGAGACAAAGAACAAGAAGGAAGGAAATTCAGTTAGCAAGATTAAAACTTTGAGGACTTTAAAATAACTAATCTTTACAGAGAAAAACGAGCTAATAGAGTATTTTATTTTGTATTTTTTTTTTATTTTGGAATTCACACTGACCTGCTTTTAGTAATATAATCTGATCATTCTGGCACAGGTCCATGAAACCTGTGATGCGCTTGGCAAACTCCACCACGTACTGGATGGCATTGGTGATGTGGTGTGCACACTGCTGCCACATCCACTCCGCTGACTGAAAAAAGGCCACAAAAACAGAATTATGTTAAGATACATTTTATGACAGGTCGATACAAATGTCATCTGACATTCTGTTTTGTTATTAGAAATAATACCTTAACTATTATAAAAGCTGGAGTCCGAACTTTGGGAATAAAATCACACCTAATTTTAGCGGCGTTCAAAAACTGCAAGGCGCGTACAGAACATATTCCCTATATAGTGTACTTAGCAGCTAGGCTAATTGTAGAGCTGGATTTTATGTTGCATTATTAGTCTTAATAGTAGTCCTAAGTAGTCTTAGTAGTAGTTTAATAGTTTCACTTTATAGATGATTAGTTTATAAGAGTCTTTGGCTTTACACACACTTTTAATGTGGCATTACTCAGGGTTCTGTGCTTAGACTGCTGTCTAATGACTTTCCTATTATTCTGTACAGCTGGAACATAAGTCTGTAAAATTACATCACATCCCATGTCACAGTTTTTCAGCAATATGAGCTATAAACCATATAAAACTCTTATTTACATGGAGATCAATGAAATACTTATTATATAAAGTTCATAATTAAATACAACTTAAACTTGACACTAAATCTTTTTTTCCTCCAGCTTTTTATTGTCATTACTCTGTCACAAGTACAGAGCCATGAAATGAACATTTAACCCATCCCTTTTGGGAACAGTGGGCTGCCATTGTGCAGCGCACAGGGAGCAGGGGTGGGGTTAAGGGTCTTGTTAAGGTCTCCCAGAGTGGCAGTCCGTGGGAGTGGGGTTTGAACTCATAACGTCTGGATTCCAAGCACAATGCCCTAACCACTAGGCCACCACTCCCCCAACTCTTTTGTAAACTTTTGTTTAAAAGATGTGTTTAGCAATAGTAAAATGTTGCCTTAAACACCATGTTTTATTGCTTTTTTTGCATACCTTGTTTTGAAAACCTCGTGTTTCTTCGGGTGTGTAATGTACCAAGGTGAATCTCTTCATGTCTTCGGCGCTGTATTGACATGTTTCCAAGTGTGACTTGACAATACTCTGAGTGATGTGCTCTATACAAACAAACAAAAACATACCTCCAAAGTCAGTTTTGTCTTGCTCAGAACATTTTTGAGGCTACTGGAGTAAGTTAATGCTTTGAAAAAACAATAAAGGCATTGCTGATTTATTATTCAGAAATAAACCGGTGCCAGAGCATTTTCACCCATACCTCATTAGCTTTTAGATGTTTTCTACCTTCACCACTAGTTACAATTCATCTGAAATGTCTCCCTTTACTATCCACAGAAGTTTCCTTTTGTGATATAATAAACATGAAATCTATTATTACACATATGATATCAATAATATATTTATATATATTATTACTATAGATAATATAAATCCTTTGTTCTAAACAGTTTGTGAATTAAAGAATTATCTGTCTAGCCCCCGTTCTAACATTGCCCTTGCTCCTCTGCATCATAACTAGGAGATCTATCCTTGTCCTTGGTTATCAGTAAATTATCCTTGCAGAAATGCAAGGTTAAGGAAAATATTGTTCCAATAAATCAAATGATGAAACTGGCAGGAATGTTAGCAATAATTGATCAGTTCAGTTTTTCTTCAGCTCTTTCATAAAAAATTAAAAGAGGAAAAAGAGCCAAGCTACGTGAGTAATATAAGCCTTTTTCAAATCCATCCAGTAACTGCTTTTCTTTGACAACATTTCAATAACCAAGGTCAATCTTCTAGTTTAGTTTTAATATAATGTTTGTGATGTTCCTTTTTTCTTTAGTAATAATTGATCCTTAGTCGTTATATTTTTCTTTTTAGTCTCACCAAGGTCTGTTATTGAGAAGTCTTCAGGCAGATGGTCCAAAGATGAGTGTCTGCGTCCTAGAAGCGAGTGTGTAAGCAGAAGCTGACTCCCACAGCTGTCTCCTGTGTCCATTATGGTCTGCTGTGGGGAGTTGTGGTTGGATAAGGAAGCAGAAGATGAGGATGAAGAGTTGGATGTGCTTCCGGTGCTGGTTCCTCCACCTCCCAGCAGCTCCAGGCTGCAGTACTCGCTGGCCTCCTCAGGCGTCAGCGGCAGGTCGAACAGATCGGGCAGCGCAGCGATGTCGTCCAGGTCGCTAAGGGTTGAGGTGGAACCTACACTGCTGTAGGTTTGGCTCAAGCCCTCTTCACCGTCGTCCGCCCCGCTGCCACAGCCTCCATCCTCCCTGGGTAGAGACAGCACAGTGGGTCCACTGGAGCCCACACATTCTTGAGACTTCTGATGTTTTTGGACCTCGGCGTAGAGGCTGTCGCGTTGCTTCTTTGACATGCGGCCAAATTTCACAGCTGTGGGGAGAAATTACCTTTCACTACACAAAGCAAATTATTTGGTTTTTACAAAATAAAAAAAATTAAAACTGCATGAATAATTTCACTTAGTTAGTGAATAGCTTTTCCCTGGCATTTAACTTTTTTCTCTAGATTTTAGACACCCCTTTTATACAGTGTAATGCAAAGATTTTTTCGTTGTTGCTCTTTTAATGAATATTTACCATCTCGGCTCATGCCCAAAGCCAGACACTTCTGTAGACGGCAATGCTGGCAGCGATTGCGGTTTGTTCGGTCAATCATACAGTTCCTCTGTCGGGAACAAGAGTACATCGCATTGTTCTGCTGGCTACGACGGAAGAAACCCTAGATGCATAAAAGAAATTAAATGAATATCATATCTGCACATTTGAGGCTGGGTAAGCATGATCTTTCACTCCTTGTCCCTTACCTTGCAGCCTTCACAGGTGATGACTCCATAGTGGATCCCTGAGGACTTGTCCCCACAGATCTTACAGGGGATTATCTCGATTTGAGCTGTGGGGTCAAAACAAAACCAATGACAGATTAGAAAACTTACACACAGAAAACTCTACGTGTAGCTATGATCAGTAGGTACAAATATAGCAAAGACATGAGTGGTACAAAACTTCAATTCAGACTGTTTTAGCTGCATCAATCAGCCAGATATTGGATTCCGTGATCTATTCTGATCAATGACTAGCATGCTAAAAAAACATGATTTGATTTTCAGTCAAATGCACAAAAAATATGATTTAAACCTATAGAATCTAAACCATCCTCATGTTCATTTTGTAAACTGATACATAATTACTGATTTATGTGCTAAAGCTGAGGTCTTCAACAGGGGGCACTGTTTCATTCACAACACCTGTCCCATCAACCAGGAATCTGAATCAGAAATGCTTATTATAATCCCATTACATTACTCCATCTGTAATAGAGTGACTATAGGATCAGTTTGATATAACACAATTTCATACAATATATATATTTAGGGGGTCCCTGCTCCATTTCACCATCAGTTTGAGGGTCCTTGGCCTGGAAAACGTTGAAGACCCCTGTGCTAAAGTGAAGGCTAAAGAAATGGCTAGACACACAAGTAAGTCAATGACATCCACTAAAAATCCTGATTGGTGCACTTCTTCTTTAGACAAAAACAAAGAGCTCCATATGAGGGTGTGTTTGGTTTGATTTTGCACTCAGTGGGGCAGAAAACCGCCAACCCTGAGTCTGCCTCTGTCTGAGCAGACTTCCTCTATAAAGATACATTTCCACCACAGTTTGGTTCCAGAGCTAATTTCTTCAACAAATAGAGTGAGGTATTGTGATAGATAATACAGTTTAATGCAAAATATTTAAAATGAAGATTGAATAATCTTTCAGATGGCCTGTGTTTATTGTTTCCCAATTTTCTGTTTCAAAAGATTTTAGTATTTTGTGTTTGAGCAGATGAGAGGTTTTTACAAATCGAACTGCTAAGTCACAGATCTCAAACTCTAAAAGCCTAAAGGCTGATCAGTATCCTTTGGCAAATCTCTGAACTCTGCATTTACTATAGAAAATTAAATAGAAAAACCCCATCTCATTAGTTATATCCAGTGTTTTTGGGTGTTAATAGTATGTCAAATAATCTCTAATGTTCCCTTATTGTAACCAAATAGTAATATATTATGCATCACACATACTTTTGAAAAATATTTTACATTCTGTTTTGACTCTGGAGCTATATAATACGTTAAAATGCTCTCCACAGTTTGAACTTAGTCATCATAATGGATTCTGTTATTTTCTGCACACTTTAACTATTTTGACAGCAAGCATGTTCAGGAAAATGGGAGGACAGCATGTTCTAAATGTGTCCTGAAGGGTCTGTTCTCTCATAAACTTCACAGTAAAGATTTACGGCAGAGGAGACTTTCTAGCAACCAGAAATGTGACTGAAGAGGAACGTTCAGGAGGCAAGGCGAGCAAAAGCTATGTTATGGAAGATTACTGATTTCATCACAGCGCACTGAAAACAGTGGAAAAAGATCCTACAGATGTTTTTGTTGCAGTGATACCAGGTCAATCTGGATGTTCCACCAAAGTTAAGAGCATGTGGAAAGTAACAAAAAGTAAAGTTACATTGGCCAAGAAACTCTTTATAAGGTGGACCAGTGAATAAAACTTGCCAAAACTTGGTTCACACGTACCCCACCTAGATACAACTCTAGCTGGCAAGTAAAGAGATGCGCTATTTAGTTTTTTTTCTAAAATACAAAACAGTTCAAACTCTTTGAGTTTGAACTGTTGAAAAATATATGTGACAGGTCCTTTAATGTGAGTTATTATAAGAATCAGCCTTAACTCTTAAGAACTATATCATTTTTTTTAACGAAACAAAAAGAACACATTGAAAATCTGTTCTGTAGGTAGAAAAAAATTAAAGCTCTTATTTTTATACATTCAATGAATGGGGGTATTTGACCTGCCGATTAGCAATCAAAGTCAGTCAATAAAAAATTGGCAGATTCTGATCTCTTGCTGGTTTATTATTGCATTAATAGGTTAAATAACTCATTTATGGATTAACTGAATTTTCTTCAATTCAAATCAAATATATTTTGTAAATCCCAAAAGGGAAACTAAATCTTGTCATAAATGAAAATTCAAAAACATCCTGGAAAAAAAAACCTACATATTGCCATATCTGAATGTTTTTCTGAATCTCGCCCCTAACCTAAATATATTTGAGAATTAAACATGGCGGTCACATTTTCCTACAATAGCAGCTCTACAGCTGAAGCTCTTAAAACTAATAGTGTTTGCCAGCCTCTAAATCCCCTCACTAATAGTCTGAAAGGTTTCATATCATCCATGGAGAAAAGCCCAAATAGAAATTTTACTGAAAACTCCAAAGGGATATAAGATCCAGCAAACTTTAGAAGTGTGATCATGACATTATGGCGGACAGCTATAAAGGCTTCAGGTTTCGTTATGTGAGCTGTTATATAACCCTGCCACTCCTCTCCAGGAGCTCGACTGACACCATTAAAAGGTTTAGACTTCCAGTTTATGAGTCTAGGAGCCTGAAACATGCCTCATTAACAGAAGTGACTGAAGGTTTAAAACTACCTGGTTGCAAACTCCCTGCTAAAGAAAATTAGTACTTACTTTATTGCTGAGGAGCCTTCTTTTGCTCTTGAAAGACATTTTCCTTTTTTATTCATGTCAATTTTGATCTATTTTAATAAAGCTTTGCTGCATTTAACACCATATGGAGAAATAAATGAATAACTAATCTCTCGGTTCAATTTCAGGCACATATGAGATTTTCATGATATGAATTATTAAAACCAAGATAAACACAAAATAACTTTCTTAATCCCAGCAAAATAACAGTGCAGTTGTATTAACCTTATTTAAAGCACTCATTCATTTTGTATTTAGATTCTGATAAGTAGATTTATGCAGATCTTTAAGCACAATTGTTTTCAGTGTGCAACTAGAATTTCAGGGGGGCATTCTTTTCTGTTCCAAACAGCGAGACAAAAGTGTATCTGACATCTTATTGAAATTATTTTTAACAGTAAAAAATGAAAACCCTTTTAATGTAGTAAAATGTAAAGCTGCTGTCACAGAGTAAACTGACTTGGCACATATGCTGGTGTGTTGAAATGATTAAAAAAAATGTAGGTTTTGTTACTGAAATACATCTTTCTTGAATGATGCATCTGTATCGTGAAATTTAACATGTTTTTTTGTTTGTTTAGAACCAACCGAATAACTGGCAGCAAAATATGATTGCTCGCTGAGTGCCCCTAAACAAGAGGATAATCATAAGATGCTTTTATTTGAAAGTGGGTCATGTCATCATATTTACTTTCAGTTTCAAACACCATGCATGCTGAGCAGAGTGTAGAGGGAGATTGTGCACCATCATCATTGGGTCACTGTTGTGAAATTTTAAAATAGATTCATTGTGATAACAACCACATGTTTTTTTTTTTGGGCATGACAGCAAGAGCTAAATGTGGTTTATGCATCTTTCAAAAGTGGCATACATATACTGCTTTAAAAACCACCTCAAAAAAGCACTTTTAAATGTGCAGGTTTTCCAAATACAATGCATAAGCACATATAATATGACAATAATATTCTGGTTTTATTGAAAATCTATGTTTTGAAGCATGATGTACATATATGGTTGTAATGTAGTTGGTGTTTAGGAGAAAACAGTAAACATTAAAACCATCAAATCTTTGCCTTAGTTGTGTTTTCCTTGACTCTACGCATGAGCGTTCAGAAAGTGCCAGCCTGTTATCAATATTAAAGTAAGCTGTTGATGCAGAGTGATATGCTAAGCATTATTGTAGTCACACAGCTCTGCTTTTCCTTTGTAGGTTAAAAACATCAGATGCTTTCTGTCACCTAGTGCATGTGTGTCGCCTGGTATCCTTTTAATACTTTCAAATTTGAAATCAAGAAATACTGTACAATAAAAAAGACAATGTTGGTAAAGACAGCATGCCACTATTGAGTTAAATCATGTATCAATTGGAAATATTCAAATAAGCCTATAGTCCTTTCCCTAAAGCTTGAAGGTATAACCCCTAAAATAATCTTAACATTTAAAAAAACTACAGAACATCATGAATGCTTGAAAAGAAAGGTAAAAGCAGGCCTGATAAAACAGGACACAGCATAGGACACCACATGACAGTTGCACATATGACACATACACAAAGAAGCCTTTTTTTCCCCCTGCATTAGCTTCAACTACTTCAAGACACAGTCAGTGCCTTGGCTGTGCTGTCCGGGGCGATCTGAATGTTTATGGAAATCTGTTAAGGGATTTCAGAAGCTACTGTTAGAGTCTTTAGTTCTGGAAAATAGAACTTTCCACTTTCTCGTCTGTGCTGAAAAAAACCCAAACAAAACAAAAAATGCTCATCTGCTTCTTTGCTAAAGCTGTTGACTAAAATACACCAACTGATGAGGGCAGCTGCAGGCATGCAATGGAAAAACATCACCCTCCTCCTTGGGCTCTCTGCCCCTCCCTTGCCTTTTGATTATATAACTCTTGCCGGGGAGCATTCTTTGCAAATGCTCATTGAGCAAGATCACTCCAGCAGCACCGTCGCCCCGCCCTCCCCAGACTCCTCGCTCCCCACTGGCTGCACAGTGCTGCCTGCTGCCTCAGCAATGGTGGAGTCATCTGTCAATCTGGAGCAGGAGCCTGTCAGCCCATGTGGATGTTCTGTCCCACTGACACACTTTCCCACTGCAGGCTGGGAGGGAGGCAAACCAGCATTCTGTCCAAACCAGTTTTAAGGTGGAGCGGGGCAAAAAAAAAACAAAAAAACATATAACTGCTTACAGAAAGTGTACTGTTGTATAATACCAAGCTTAGTGAAAATACAAGTTAGTGCACAAAGTATAGCTTTACTGTCCTGTAGCATATCTTCACTGTCGGGTGTCGGTAACATGATCCCACATGTGGTTCGACTGTCATGGTACGGGCTGTGCTGTAC